ATATTTGCGTTTATATATTTAAAAAAAATATTTTAAACGATAAATTAAAAAAAAAACCTATAGATAATTGAAAAAAAAAATTCTTTTGCTTGATCTATAACTAATTTGAGATCTAAGTCCAAATTAATCTGATGGGCGAACTATTGTTACTGTAAAGATGTATTCATATCTCTATCCTCTCAAATGAGTCTCATTGACTTCCTTCGTAAACACCCTCATCCATTGCATTCCGGCCCGTCACCTTCAAGTGTCACAAGCAAGTGACACCCGCTCAGGGCGCTGCACCTTACTTGCATTTAATATGCAACTTTTCAATTAAAGAATTTCATTATTGTTTTGTCTTTGTGATTTATCATTTAATTACTCTGTTGCGTAATGGTCATTTAGAAATCTTTGAACTGACACACTATTCAGTCTTTCAAATATTCTCAAGATCCAAAAGTTATGACCGGTGCGTTCAAAAAACCTTCAAATGTTTGAGAGTTACCACTGCAGTTAATGCCCCTTGGGGCCTGGTTTTTTTCCCTGTTTTGCTTATGTTTCCTGTCCGGACAGCCCGAGACAAGACCCGAATATTAATCAACTAAAGTTAAATATCTAAAATAAAAAATAGTTTTAACGAAAAGCATCAAATGGTAATCGTTGATCAATATGACACGAAAGCCAAATACCACTGGCTCATTGACCGGCTGTCTTAATTGATCGCGGGATCTCGGGAACAAGTCCTATGAAACTTCTTATGGTTCCCTCTAATACTTCCGTTTATTGATCTTTTCATTATCTCAAACACTGTTGCGAAGCAATGATATTCAGCTTGTAATAAAAAAAATAATAATTAAAAAAAAGCAAACTTGCATTGGCTGATCGCGGATAAGAAAAACTATTTTATAACATATTTGGGATCAAATAAAAAAATAAAAATAATTTATAAATCTGGCACCGGTCATTGTGGTGTGACAAAGTATCCGACCGATCCCCCAAAACGTAAAAGGTTTACAAACACTGGCTTAGCCATTAGCTTTCAATTTATGACCAGGTTTGTTTGAAAAAGCTTAAACAATCCCTACCAGATGTCGAGAAATCCAGGAAGTCCCATTCCGCTATAAATGTCAAATCTTGAAATCTTGACCAACCATTGGCTTCGTCGAAATTAATATTTGCTGCTTCCCAGCGCCTTCTCAGCCTTGGTTCTCTTTTTTTGGATAACTCACCAGAAAGTGGTCAGTTTGGAATCGACACCAGCAACTCTTCTTCAGTCGCCAATAAATAGACTTTTGGCTTAGACATCTTCAAACGTATCTGCTGTTTCCTGGATGGCTCTTCTTGAGTTCAGAATGAAAACCACCAAAACACTCAAGCATCGTCCTCATGTTTTCTCCCCGCAGAGAGTCACAGAAGTCTCTGAATTGCTCTAATTCCATTTTCTTCTCGAACTGTAATATTATTTAAACTGAAGTGCCATATTGTTCTGATTTAAAACGTGCTTTTTTCAATAGCATGCTCAACTATACAAGAAGCGATTCGAGCGCTTCTACCTTTGGTAACCACTTTGTCTTTAATCGCCAGTGTGTAAGATCAGCTTTCTCAAGTAATATCAACCCAAAAAATAAAGGTAGCATAGAAACGAGAAATCCCAGGCAGCAGGCAAAAGACTTTGTGCTGTATCCAAATTAAAACAAGAAAAATGTTATATTATATGAACTTAGCTCATTGGAAACTGTGTAGCCTATACTTCACAAGGCAACTGTGCAGCCTATACTTCACAAGGAAACTGTGCAGCCTATACTTCACAAGGAAACTGTGTAACCTATACTTCACAAGGAAACTGTGTAGCCTATACTTCACAAGGAAACTGCGGACTGAGGTTTGCACCAAGATGATCTTTTAAAAAACGACACAATTTTTTTTCAAGAACTTTTAAAAGTGAATAATTCATTTACCGTTTGACAGCAAATCAACTTAAATAAGACTTGGCGCTTATTTGAAATCTGCATCGTTGCAAACCAAAAATTTTAATTCAAATTTTTAAAAAAGTAATTAAAATAGCAACTGACTATCATTTACTTTGGGTTCTGTTGTGATAAATTGATTTATAGGCTAACTCTTAATGTTTTCTTAATATTATGTTTAACGTTCAATCAGATTTTCATTCCATTTCTATCGTTTGTTTGATGACTGTCTCATGAGTCATTGTAACGTTACCTGTGACCTTGGCTCAAAACAAAATCCCATTCATAAAGAAAATTAAAGAGGAAAATGGCCGCTTTGGCTATTGATTCTTGGCCTAGACCTATAATATAATATGTAATTCTTGTTTTTATATATATATATATATATA